AATATAATATAATATAATATAATAATATAGCTTTCTGAGCCTTCCTTTAATAAATTCGTGTGGGACCTTGGTTTTGGTAATAATAATGTAAGCATTTCATTGCGTTGTTGACTTGTGTTAACCTGCATTCAAAAATAAACCAACCCGCTCCTATTAAAGGAGGACACTACGAGGACACTTTTACTTTGAAGGCGCCTACCGGAAGCAGTTTGTCTCATAAGCTTAGTGTTGATAGAAGTGGAGCTGTCAGTGTCAGTGGAGCAGCGACAGGCAGGGAAAGCCCGCAGACAGGCAGTACAGTGAAGACCGCCGCTTCACTTTCTGTCTCCACTCTGAAGGGAACTCTTTTACACAGACTGAAAGAAAGAAAACACTCCTGGAGGAAAACAACAAAACAAATAATATATATACATAAAACAAAGAAAAACAACAAAAAGCGTCTGCATTGATTTGTCTTCAGGTGGACATGGCTGATGTAAGTTTGATCGACTCGTCCACCGAGGACGTAGCGAACCGATTCGCCCGAAAAGGAGCTCTGAGGCAAAAAAACGTCCACGAAGTCAAGAACCATAAATTCATAGCCAGGTTCTTCAAGCAGCCGACGTTCTGCAGCCACTGCACGGACTTCATCTGGTAAGCCTGCCGTCTCTCCCACCTCCTCCTCCTCCTCCTCCTCTTCCTCCACCCTGCTGCCTGTTGCAGCTCGGAGACTTTCAGCAACTTCTGGGCTCCCCGGAACCCGCATTTCCTGCACTTTTCTAACACTTAAACACCACCAGGAATCTCCTCTCAGGAGGGATTAAAAAATAATTTTAAAAAAAGTCCTGGTTTAACTCTGGTGCACCTAAATGTCCTGCTCCCGGCTGTGGGAGGAGTTACTGCTGTCTCTGTCATTAGTCTTGACTTGAAAATAACAATCCTGGAAGGGGTCTGCAACCTTCTGCAGGCTCAGGAGCCATGTTTGTTGTTTTTGTTTTCTCACTGGATATTCTTAACCTGAGCTACAAAAGATTGGTTTAACACAATTTATTAAGTTAGATATAAATACTACAGCATCACAAGTTTATTACATATGTAAATCTAGGATCATCTGTGTGCATGTTGGCATGTTTAAACTTGTTTTAAAGAGAGACCAAACTTTTGTGAAGAGACGGGGAAAAAAACAAGAATTTAAACATTGAACTATGCACATCTTCTTTTTTATTTTTAAAGAAAATAAACATGCATTCTACTTTAAACTTGTAAAATGAGTCTAGCTTGTTGCTGAAGGTCCCATAATAAACAAAAGGCAAATCTACTCTTTAAAGGTCCTGCGTTTCACATTTTTGCAGAGTGAGTGGCTTGTTTTGAACAAAATGTTTTCAAAACAGCTTTCTGCTTTCCCCCCTTAGCTTTTGTTATCTAATGTGTTTTTTTTTTAATAAATGTGTAATTATGGTGTATTTAAGTTATGGCTAGAAGTTGGATTAATTTATACATTTTTCCTTTCTATAATTAGGATTATTCTGGTACACAAACTGCATTCAAATGTTGCAGAATAATTGCTGAAATTAGCCATTTTTTTTGCACTTCTATGTGATTTATTTTATTTTATTTCATTTTTTTTTGGTCTACAAAAGTCCACTGCAAAAAAAGAGCCACATTTGGCCCAACATGACTTTAATGTAAAATGAGCAGAAGAAAGAAAAGTTTCAACCTGATTTGGGGAAATGATCTGGGATAATTAGTGGAATAAAAAAGATATTTTTGCTCAGTTTGTGCAAAAAGATCAAAGAAACAGATTTCTTCTTGAGTCAGTGTGCAGTGAAGTGACAACTTTTTTCCCCCCTTCTCGTTATTCTCGTAGTTTTGGATTTGAGTTGTCGAACAAACGACTGTAGTGCAGCTACTGGGTTCAGCCCAGTTTGATGACTAATGTTTCCATTTTCCTGAGAAATATTTGAACCATTGAAACTGGTGTATTTTTTTATATATACTTTGGAAAAATATTGAAACTGTTTGACCAAGGTGTGTTTGGATTTCACTCCGTTACCGGCTGTAAAGGCAATCGACAACACATGCTTTCATTTAACACTCTGAAATCATGGACAAATCTATGCATATTATCACTTTAATCACATGCTAAATGTAAATGTTTAGAACGCAGATCAGTTTTCATAGTTTTAGTGTTTTTTCAGTGTGAGAGGAGTGCATTAGGTTGGAGTTACGCCCACGTTTCCAGTCCTCTGCTGTCGAAGGTGGGTGTGTGTGACTTCAGGCCCTTTTACTGCTACGAGTGTGTAACTGTTGGCAGGTTTACACTGTGACCTGTGCTCCTCTTAGCACCACTCCTTAGTGCAAAACACACAGTCGGTGTGAGCTGAGGACGAACAACTTGTTGCTTTAGTGCGCAAACACTGTCCTCGTGCAGGAGGGTCATTGTTAAGAAGTTCGGTCGTCGTCGCGGCGACATTAAACACGAGGACAGGGCCGAGGCAGAACATAAACGATCAGAAAACACTTGGACACATGAAACTACAGCCTAAATGGGATAACTTTCAAAATAAAAGCTCAAATCCAATCATTTAGTGTGGTTTTTGAGGGAGATCATTGCTAAATGATGAAACTTTGTTGCGCTGCTTTAATGCAGAGGTGCCCAAAGTGGGGCCTGCGGGCCAATATTGGCCCGCTAAGCCATTTCATTTGGCCCACCAGTAGTTTTTAATTGCCTGTCATCCTCTGTAGAAACTCTGTATTTCCATGTACAGTAATTACATCCAACGGCCCAGTGACTAAATAAGGGACTGTAGCACAGATAGCTGACTTTGTCACTGAATTATATTAAGATTATGAATAAAATACAAGAAACCAAAGAAGATATTTACATTAGATTTAAGCACACATGTAGATTTGAAAACTTTATAAGACTAAAAATGCTCATATTTTATCAATATATGAAACGTCCCATGAGCCTTTGCTGCCTGAGCAAGTGTACAGATTAAAAACACAAACAAAACATGGGCCACTGCACTGGCTCTTGGCTTAATCATAAAAAGTAAAAGCACTTTACTTAAAAAGTATTAACATTTCCTCTGTTATATTATTGCATTTGGCCCGCAGCCTTTGGGTAGATTTTCATTTTGGCCCCCTGAGGGAATAAGTTTGGACACCCCTGCTTTAATGAAAATGTTGGATTTGGCTTTTACCACAACTTTTTTACACTTAAAAATGCTAATAATTTGTGTCTGTTACCAAAATAAAATTTAGTGTGGTAGTAGCTGAGAGTCATTTATAAGAAATGCTCCAAGTGTTCCTTATTGCACAAGATCTTTGAAGAATAGTTATAACTGCTGGAGTCAACCTTGCATGTCTATTAGCAAAACATTTCGTACATCACTGGGTGGTTTTTAATGAAATCCCTGGTATTATAACAAATTTTACTGGACAATAAATTGTCTCAGAAATGATTGCGATAAACAATCATATTGTTGGAGACCAGTTTAAACTAATATAACGATATAAACACCGTTTGCGAAAGTTAACATTAAAATTGATGTAAAAAACAACTGCCAGCAATCCCAAGGTTTGGCACGGTGCCCTGAGGGCGTTGCCATCTGAAAGGAGGCATCAGAAAACAAAACAAACAAGCAAAACAAATGAAAACTAGAGATTCCTGCAAAAATGCTTGTGTGGATGCTACATGCTGAAAACTTAAGCTGAAAGCTGCTGAAATTGAGCCGAACATGTTTAATAGCAAAAATGTTAATGCAAGTTCAATTTGAAAAACAGAAAGGAACAAAAAATCTTTAATTTTGCAGAAAAAAAGTAGGAATAAGCAAAAAGATCGTTAAAAAATCAGAAATGAATGAAATGAATATAACAGAAAGCAACTGTAAGAAGCTTAAACAGCTCAAATTAGCAGAAATAATTACAATAATGTTGGCTATTGCATGCAGTCAAATAGCAGAAAGCTGAATTTTAACTAAAATAGCCAAAAAAGCTAAAATTAGCATAAAACAATCTATAGGTAGCAAAAACCAGTTGAAAAAAGCACAGAGATGGTGAAAGAGTTGTAAAAATATACAGTTAGCATAAAAAACTGCAGAAAATACTAGAAAAGTCATAATTTGTAGAAAAAAAGCTAAAACAGCCGAAGTTTTCAGTATAACAGCTGAAAAGTAGTTGGAAATGTTTTGATTAGCATAAGGAAGCATAAGAAGCACAAGTTTGTTGAACTTAATAGAGATAAGTTGTAAAAGCTAAAAAAATATGTATTTAGCTTTAAAAAAACTAACTAATTAGCAGAGAGAATTACAAAAAGGAAACAAATTGCAGACGATAAGCAAAAGAGGCAGAACCTTAACTAAAATAGAAGAAAAAAGCAAAAATTAGCATAAAAATAAGCTAAAGGTGGCAGTCAGAAGTTGAAAGTAGCACCCAGATGTTTAAAGTATTGTAAAAAAAAATTGTAGAAAAATCTGCATAAAACTACTAAAACAAGATAATTAGTATTAAAATGGCTAAAACAGCCAAAGTTTTTAGTAAAACTGCTAAAACGTAGCTGGAAATGTTTTAATCAGCATAAGGAGCACAAGTTTGCTGAACGTAGCAGTGATAAGTAGTAATAGCTACCAAACGTATGTATTTAGCTTAAAAACTAACTTTAGCTAACAACAGCTGAACATTAGCTAAAATTGCAGCAAATTGCTGAATGAAGCAGAAAGCATCTGTGAGGAGCATAAATAGCACAAAGTAGAAGAAAGAATTACAAAGAAGTAGAAAATAGCAGAGGAATAGCAGAAACAAGTAGAATTTTAGCTGAAATAGCAGAAAACAGCTAAAATTATAAAAAAATAGCTAAAATTAGCACAAGAAAGTTAAAAGGTGCATGAGCAGAACAAATCGTGGAAGGTGCTGTAAAGATTTAGAAACATTTTGAAAGATTTCAAGGATGTTGAAAATAGCCCCATTCCTTTTCAACGGCTAAAAAGTGGCTAAAAAGTGGCTAAAAAGTGGCTAAAAAGTGGCTAAAAAGTGGCTAAAAAGGGAAACAGCTAAACAGGTATAAATAGCATAAATACCAAAAGTCATAGCTGGAATGCCCTGAACATTTTGATAAATGAATTGTTGAAATTGCATAAAATATGTGGAACAAGAAAGGGGCCAAAAAAACGTATGAAAAAAAAGATCTCAATTGTTTTCATTTTATCTTCTTCATTTTAATTTTTCATACGATTAAGTGATTTATTGTTGTGACGGGCCTAGTTGCCGTAGATGTTGTAGATTACAGTTCAAGATGGACATTCGCCAACACAAAATTGCAGCAGCACAGTCATTTTATCAGATACTGAGCTAATCCAAAATGTCATTTCTGAATTTCAGTTTTCATTTTTTTAAAGTTATTAATGGTTGCTGTAATTTTATAGAAATGTCCAAAACGTTTCAGCATAGCCCTTCAGTAGGGTTATAGATTGTATAAAGTATTTGTCCCTGGACTGAATATCTGTTCATGTCTGAGTGAAAAGAGTTGATTCACTGTGTAAAGAGCTGCTCAATACAATCTCTATTTTCTTTTTTCACAGGGGATTTGGAAAGCAAGGATTCCAGTGCCAAGGTAAAGAAAAACGCACAGAAGTCTGTTTCTTTTGTGTGACGTTAACAGTATGTTCTGTGTATTTTTTTATTTTTATTTATTACTTGAAAATGAGCTTTTCTCAGTCTTTTATATGCAGTTTTTTGTTTGGTTTGTGGATGAGGATTTGGTCAAAGCTTTTTATCTACCCGTCATAATTTATGATTTCTTGAATTTAGGGATGACAGTGACTGTTGCTCTTTTCTTTAGTCTCCCCCAGGAATAATGTAAATTAAAAATATATATAATAAAAATATATAATAACAAAACATAAAAACTGACCATTTCAAGCCATGTAAATCAAACAAAAGGTAAAAGTTGTTCCACTTGTTTACAGCACAAAACAAGGAAAGTTTATGCTTATGTAAGAAAAATACGTGTTTAATATGACTGAAGTCAAATGAAAACACCATTGTTAAATAAAATGATTTGTGGACGGAATAAAGTCATACAACACCAGAATTCTGGAACCGAGTGAGGTTTAATTGTCACCGGGCTGACAAGGAAAACCACACAGGAAGTACATCTTTTTATACACGATTCTTCAATGCCTGAGTTCGCCCCCTACTGACCTACGGCTGAATTACAGGCATTCATCCAAAAATCTCAACCTAATGTTATCATAACGTTTCACTTATGTGTTGTTTATGATTTGGACATGTAACTACTCTATATCAATTAACACATAATAAACCAAACATTATAAAAAGGAAACCCTAATAATCTAGTGTTGTGCTTCTAACATCAGTACTAGCCTGTAATAACTATAAATTCCTTCATTTTGGTTTTTCTGAAAAGACCAAGTTTTTTGGGATTTGTTGCTTGATTTGCTGCTTAATGAGGTTTAGATGTCAACAAATTAAACTTGATTTTAACGTGCTTTCTACATGTTTCTTGTCAACAAAGTGCCTCCTATAGATTTTTTAGTAAATAAAATAAAGCCTGCAGAAAGGGAGGTTTGTCCAAATCACAGACTGAGATGATAAAAAGAATGAATTACGTTTTTAACTAATGATTACATGATGAGAAAGAGAATCAGAAGTGCAGCAAAGTTCACAGACACAGATTCCTCTGCTTGAATCAATCGCATCATCTTTGGCATTTTAAAGATGAGTTTCCCATCATCATTTGAGCTCATCTAATGTGGAAAACTCTGTGCCTGCCAAAGTCTGGCTGAAAGTGCCCACGTAGCCGAAAAACACGGCTCACTGCGGGGCTAAATACAGACCTCCAATGTAGAAAATGTTCAAATTTAAGATATTTTTCAATAGTTTAACACCACTGTAATCCAACTCCGGATGCTTTTACGAGTTTGTAGAGATTATGTTTTGTTTGGATTATTTTATTTCCTCGGTTTGTCTGGCTTGCAGCTGTTGTGTGCGGGATTGATGACGTCTTTTTATGATTATTGTGTTAAGAACAAGAAATTCATGACTTTATTTGGGAGGTGAAACCAATGTGGAAGTAGGAGCAAACTGTGCAGCTTGTTTGTGCTTTTTGTGATTCTAATTACAATCAACATTTTATCATTTTTGACTTGAACTTTCTATGTAGAGGTGTGCCAAAAATAATCGATTCATGTAAGAATCGCGATTCTCATTCACAACAGAATTAATATGAAATGCCCCAAAATCGATAAAATAATAGTAATAATAAAACAAAATTGCTGGCTGTTGGTTTCCATAATTATGCAGGATGTTTTAACAGTTCTGAAACGTATGCATGAGCAGAAAGCAACAAAACAAAGAGGAAACTACAAAAAAGGAGGAAAGAGAGTCATCCGACCCTCACAAGGATTCTTTGCAAAACAATAAATTGAATCGAGTATCATTAGAAATCAAAAGGTTTTGAACCAAAAATCTATTTTGAATATAATCTTGGCCTGAAAAATCAGAACTGAATCAAATCATGAGATTGTAAAATATCCCCACACTCTAATTCTCTGTCAGTCATATTTGGTCTGGACAGTTTTAAAAGGAACTCGCAGAAAAGCATCATTAAAAGTAAAATAACAGCTTGTTATGTTTTGGTTAACCAGATTCAAGATGGCTGCCACTGCCAGCTTAAAAAGAACGGTAGGGTTCGTATGAACATGTCACGTCAGATTCAACAAACTCTTCTATCTTCAGGAAAAGTGTGTAAATGAGCTGCGTAAATTCCACCTGTTCGTATCCAGCTGCTCG